TCTCTGGATCCGCCACCGCTGTTGATGCCGACATGTACAAATGTTTGTAAACTGTAAACTGGTAAAACGAAAGTAGGTCTGCACGATCGCAAACATTTAATGCTGATATTTTCGCATAAATTTCAATTAGTACTTGATGTGATAGCAATTGATTAAATGAATGTTACCTTGTGTTGTATTCTAGCACATCAGTGTCTCAATACATACCGTATTAATCTGTTAATGTTCGATACACGTCAGTTTTTTATTTACCATCCTGATTATGTTGCGAGGCATTTCCGGGTCACGTTCTCGTAACCTTCCGGTTACGTAAAAAAATGCAATTTTTCAATTCACAAAATCTTGATAATTTATTAATTAAAGATAGTTTAAAGAATAAAAGAGTTAACAAAAACAATATTAATACATTGTAAATGTTATTTCTTGAATGTTTGCGAAGCAGACGACGTTTGATCATAATCTGGAAACTAGAAAAAAATAATCCAAAAAAATGTGTTTTAACATTTGAAAGAAAAAAGTTTGAAGGGGAAAAAATAAATTTGTTCTTTTATGAATTAATGAAAATGATACAGAAAAGAAATATAGTGAATAAGTTATAGTGAATTTATCAAGAACATCATCGTTAGAGAGTATGTTCTGGGCACGATCGTTTAGAAGCTTTGCAATACTTTAAACTCTTTCAAACGCGCATCAGCTCGAGATTAGGTCCTGTTTACAAAATGGCGACTGGAAGTAGCAAGGCGGATTAAATTGGAATTTAATTTGCGTATATTTCGGCAAGTAAACATTGTTCACAAAGCCCATGTGGTCTGTTCATCTAATTTAGTCAAGATGTACTCAGACCAGTCGTTGTTTAGTCGCTAGGGTCATTCACAAAATAATTAGTATTATTATATAAACTTATTGTAATTAATACATGTATACATAAAACTAGAACACTTTTATAAGTTTATATTTCTATTTTTATATTTTTTGGATTCACAATCTTGGCTCACATGTACATCCTTTGTCATCATTGATATTGTAGTTAACATAAATATAATCTTTTAATTTTAATGAATTCATTGAATTAAATATCAATCATTAGCAAGTATGTGTATGTCATATACATTTTGTGCAACTTATTCGCAATTCAGACTCCACATGGTGCATTTTCATAGCTCCCTATTTCCTTTATGTATTCTGAGTTAAAACATGGGACATACACTTCTATCCCAACACTTTAAGTCAGGCTTAAAATAAAATAGTTTGGTTTCAGTCCCAGATTTTGAATGCTGTTGCCTTTCGCGGTTAAGTGTTTTCGTGTGTTTGATTCTGTTGGAATATAATAGGCGCTTGGATAACTCGGATATCAAGTTTCTTTTTAAACATGAAAAGCATAAAATCTAAACGCGTTCAAAATTTCACACGGGAATGACATAAAACCTTCATATGTTACGAGTATGAATCAGACACCTTTGAGGTTCCCGAAGGGGTAGACTGTTATATTACTGTAGCGGAACTCGACTGGGTCGATCGTCGACGACCAGATAGCTCAATTGGTAGAGCGTCCGTTTAAAGTTCGGAAGGTCCCGGGTTCGAACCCCGGTTTGGCGTGCATTTTTATACGCCCGTCAAAGACGGAAGTATTATGGTGTGGGGTTGCCCGGCCGTGCGGCGTAAAACTTTTGTTTGTCCGGCAATCTTCTCCTGCATTTTTCGACCGATCTCTTTGAAACTTTGAAAAATGAAGTGTCAATAAAGGGGGTGTACACGATACTCATGAACAATCGTAAATTTTCGAGGAGTTTCGGAAAAGTTTTGAAATATGCTCGCAGCAATAAACTGTTACTCGAGTAAAGTAACTGTTAGGCCTACTGTAGTTTTTAGGACTTAACGTTGTGAATTGATAAATACCACGTATCGGGAAACATAGCAATGCATTTCATCGCATTTACCACTCTGGGGTTAAAATGTCTTTCTTTGGTAAAATCATGCTGGACTAGTTATTCACTGACCTATAGGAATGTGTCAAAAGGACATGGGGAAATTGGCGGAGTTTGCAAGTTTATATACCACAAAGAGTCAAGGTCGCGTGATACTATTAACCGGCAGGAATTTACAAGTGACATCCATACGAATTGAACCGATAATTATATATGTTTGAGTTTGAAAAATATATATTAACGGGCTCAAAATAGCCAAATACATTCCGATGGTTTTATTTCATAGAAGAATTGCTGAAATCACAATTGTTTGTTGTTCTTCATGTCTCGCGAATTTGTCGGACCTGTCTAAGTGACTCCCTTTAAGCTTACACACTCTGCCTACATTATGTATATCGATGACCGATTCAGTCGGATTAGCAGACGATCAGAAAACTACTTGGAAAAGTGTATTTCATAACCAAAAAAAAAGTAAAAGATTTATCCGTATATAAGATTGAATCTTTTCTGAAACTTGTTGTTGTGCAACATCTTAATATTCCAATTACCTGTTCCACCCATGCCAGGTGACTGTGTCAGCGCGCAGATATCCCCGTATTCGAGGTGTCAGTCAACGCTAACATCATATTTGCGACATGTTTTCTTATTAATTCCATGTGTGTGTATTTACACCTGGTCATTGTTTACCATTTTGATTGACAGGTGGAAATATATCAGTTGTAGCTTGGTCAATGATTAATCGGAAAATGATCATACAGAATGATGGGATGACTTTTATGTCATTTTGACATATTTCTAGTTTAACTTAATTCTATTACGTAACAGGATTAACTGGTAAATGTACTTAACGATATGGTTATGTTTTGTAATATCAGTTAGAACCTAAGCTCGGACTGTGCGGGTGTGCTTTTGGATACTCCAGAAATCGCCCACCGACCTAGAGAAAGTGATTGTTATACATTTTATATATGGACAACATACAAAATCTCCAGAATTTATGCTTTCAAATTGTATAACAACACCTTTCAAAGGTGTTATAATATATCTATGATGTTGAGTTGAAGATTCACACGGAGTTATTGTGTTCAGTATCAACGATGTTGTTTAGTGGACGTACACTGTATCGTTGTTGATGTATCAAGCATGATATATGGTCCTCGTTTCCTCTCATTAACACAGGTGTGACTGCTGAATTATGTAATGCAGCATACTACAGCTACAGCTACAGCTACTACAGCTACTACAGGTACACCTACTACATCAATTGTGACACTGGTTGCTGCGGCTATTATTATGACCGGGAATGCTGTACTTCATCGTAAGTACCAGATATCATATCTAATATACACGTAAGTCTCTTATAAAAACCGTGTAAGATCTTATAGAGTCACCTAGTCCGATTATCAACTGAACAATGTGATGATATATTTTTCTCCAAAAACATATATAGATACATGTATTACTAAAGATAGATACTGTATATTACTTTCAATTAATGATATATCTGTTCAAATCATGTTTATACTTTCATAGAGCTGGTACCATTGCCGGAGCGGTCATTGGCTGTATTTTCTTCATCGCCTGTATCGTCGTCTTTATCATCGTCATCAAGTCCTGTAACAAGAAAAGGACTGGTGTTATTGTCGCAGGGCAAACTGGTGGAACTGGTAACGTCACGGTCGGTAAGTGTAATTACATATAGAGGGTTAAATGTGTAGTTATTTATGAGGATATAAACGAAGCTCAGACGATTCAGGTGAATGACTTGTCGAGGCCTTGAACTCAAGATCTTTGACACCGAATCAATAGTTAGTACATAGATATACAATTTATACAATTAGCATATACTAATCAATTGTTTAGGAATTCACAAGAGCAGCCTTAGCAGGCGCTAACTACTAGTTCTATGCCACCTGGCTAATATCTTCCTATGTGTGTATGCCTGCGTGTGTGCTGGAGATGTAGTGTCCTGTGTACAACTTTCATATAAAATTAAAAGATAAATCGGAGAAATGTCAGTGCTTATTTTGAATTCTGTGTCATACTTATTATGCAGTGTTGTTTCCAGCGAAAGGTATCATTCTTGTTTATCATTTCGATTACTTAACCTGTTGGAACAGATAGAGTGAATGACATTTGTTAATTAATTCTCTGCTAATATACCATTGCACATTACAATATCGTAATATACATGTTTAATATTAATCTTAAATATACAATAAACATTCGTGGTTTTTGTGGTTGCAATGGAACCACGCAAACAAATAATACAACGAATTTGACTGACATAGTTCACTACTGTTTGTAAGAGGTATCCATGACTGTTTGTTGCACGAAAGAAACAATCGCTTCAAACCAGTAAAGAAAATACCTGTTTAATTCATTGCAGCGCTGATATCAACATATCCATTTCACAAAGTATATCTGACTACATTTGTTAAACTAATAGGCTTGATATGTAATCTCACTCACAGCTAAACTTTACATTGAAAGTGATGCAATTATTTATAGTGTCATGATCACTCTGCTAATAATGGAATTTATGAGTGTACTATTCTATAACCTAGCTATTTCATAGTTACATGAATATTCTATAGTGCTTTGTTAAATAAATTTAAGGGAATCTTCAATCTTCAATATACAATAAACATGCGCGATTTTACTGCCACGACACGACAATCCCACGACAATAAATAACACAACGAATTCGACTGACATAGTTCACTGCTGTTTGTAAGAGGTATCCATGAAAGTTTGTTGCACGAAACATGCTTCAAACCACTAAAGAACATACCAATAACATTTCAAATTATGTAGGATACTTCTAGATATGGCAGTGAATGATTCTTATACTGATAAATGTACATAGATATACACAAACATTTGTACATGTATACATACTCAGAAAATCGTTTCAGTCTTACTTACTAACCATTCATTATGTTTTTTATAGTTAACAATACCACCCAACAGCAAATGCAACAACAGCCGCAGGGAGCCTTTCCCCAGCCGGCCTATCCTCCTCCTCCACAGTATGGGGGACAACCTCAACCATATGGGGCCTATCCACAGCCACAACCAGCATATGGGGGCCCTCCTCCTCCACCATATGGTGTCCAACCTCAACCACATGGGGGGCAAGCCGGACCGGCTTATCCACCTCCACCAGCAGTAAACAATCCCAATCAACAAGAGAAGTACTAACTCCAAACAAGCAGACTGGACGTTATAACAGCTTACGTTTGGCTAAAAGGCTACACACAGAGGATTGTGGGTATATATTTAGCGAGGTTGAGAAACAGCTGAAACAAATATTAAATAAGTCCGTTTTAGCCCGAGTGTTTTTTTTCCAAAAAAAGTAGATTTATATATTTTACAATTTTATGAATAACAATTATTGATTATATCTATTCTACCAAGTACTTTGAAATTAAAATGTGTTTTCGTATTAACCCTATATCCATGCTCTATACTTATGTATTTAACAGGTTTCGCGTGTTTATCCTTTTTGATGTTGTGAGCTTGTTGCTCTATTTTGCCTGCTACGTTTGAAATTAAGATATATTTGGGAAAGATGATGTGTGCCTTATTATTGTTGATTTATCATTAATTTACTAGAAATTCTATTAACCAAAGATGACGCATCCTTCCTGAGCTTGTCCTATCACTCTGACTAAGTTGAGTGAAGTTTTTGTATTTGTACCTTTTGGGTATAAAAATCCCGCAAGTTGCACTTGCAGTTGCCATTTGGTTTCTCGATTAAGCAAAGAATTAACTGTGCAATCACTCTTAAACTTACCAACAAGTTTTCAGGTACCAATCCGAACAAGTTGAGTGGAACATTCTGATCGCGAACCTGGTTAACTGGGGTTTTTTTGTTAGCACAATCACAATATATCTAATAAATGCGTTTAGCATCACTCGACAAAAGAAACCAACTCCTGCACAATGAAATGTTCCGTCCTTCGAATTGGAAGAGTTCAAATGTGGTTTCAGGGGTGAATGAGTTAGTTCGAAAATATTATATGCATGCTCATATATTATCGTCCAATAGTATGTGGTTCTAACTAATGAAAAGTGTCGTTACATCGCAAACATGGTAGGGATTCAAAACTAGAGTAGTATTTATCAATACAGTGTGTTAAGTGTGTGGTTGTAACCAATGAAAAGTGTCGTAACATCCCACACACTGGATATATTCAATTATTCTAAAGTGATATTTATAATACAGATTGTTTAACATTATATTTGAATTTGATACTAGGTGTCAATGACCAACTGCTTTGAGCCTGTACTAATAAATGAAACACATGTCAAAAACATCATAGGAAAATGAAAAGTTACCTGTCCACTTAAAGACAAATGTAGGAAACTGTTAATTTACGTATTAATGTTAATATATATCTAATATGAATGAATTTAAATAATCATTAATTTTACACTTTCTGAACATGTCGATTTCAAGGGAAATACAGCCTTGTGGTAAATGAAAATTATATCTGTAAAATTGTGAAGGTTAAATTTGTAATTGTCAAGATAGATATTTTATGTTCATTGTTGGATAGATTTAGCTGATATATATATTTTTAATTTTTGCTTTTTTTCATGCGTCAACAATTCAATTTATATTTCACATTTTGGTTTGAAATAATAAACAATATTTTTTGGGTATGCATGTGTTTGTTGATGATATAAACCTTAACTGGTTCAACAATAACACTCAATATACAATAATCCTTCAAACTACAGTTCAATCACTGTTCTTACCCTCCCAGATACTTTTTTAGCCACTTTTATCATTTCAACATTGCATACACCTATAACTTTATTGAAAGCATTGCAGCTCTTCTGTGGTAGTTGAACTATGATCAAAGGACCTCGGCATCTTTATTTGCGACTAAATCGTCCAACAGTTAAACATAAAGCGTTTTCCTCAATAAATAAAAGATTTCATGACGTAAAGTCTAGAAATCTTACCATAATCTTTATACCGTAAAAACCCATGTAATTTGCGCACCTATGTAATTTGCGCATGTACTTTTTGAGGCTGAAAATCCCAATAAGAGCTTCTACTCAAATATTTGAGCACCAAAATATTTTGGAAAAAACCCGATGTTTAAGTTCCGAAAATCGTTCTCTGAAAATTAAAGACAAACCGATTGGGATTCTTAAGATTTTTGTAACTTGTTTATTATAAGTAAATTCATAAGTGTTGTTTACAGGTACAATGATGTTAAAACTAAGACGAAACTGCGTAAAATGTGTATTCTGTTATTTGTTTCCTTTGAAATATCTGATCACACATGACACACACGTGTGCGCATATCGGCATGCATCGATTCATTTTAGCAATATTTTACATAAAACATTTACTTGCTTACAAAAACATATCAATTAATAAGTAATTCGATGTTTAGTAACCGCTGGTGCATATCTCCTGGTGAAAGACATAATTAGATACCTTTTATTGATCATAATTACGATCAGTGAGAAGGGCTCATCACGGCGGCTTGGGTATCGTCACTTCAAACCAGGTCATGTCACAGTTCAGTTTGGCGATATGTTTTGGCCACACAATTTTTACCTACTGTAAAATTATACAGAAGAATATTGTTGCCCCATTTTCTTTTTAAAACACCTTTAATATTGCCGTTCGTTTAAAACTCCTAATAAAGACACCAAAGTTCTAAAAACATTGTACACGTTCGTGTGAATGCCTCATTGAGAAAGTTTGTTTTGAATTCGTTCCGGTTCAAAGATCTTTTAAAGATTTCGTCGGTCGTATAAGGTAAGCCTCCATTTATTAACGTATTTGGTGATTCAAGTTCACCAATAAGCAATGCACACGTGCTCATTGTCCTATAGTATAGGTATACACCAGTTTACAAGGAAGTTTTTGGACGGAACCGAGTACAAACAAGGACATATCATAAACACTATAAATAGCATGCACCTTTTGTTACAAACAATGTTTGTTAGGAAGAGCACAAAGTGGCGTGTTTCGATCGTCGCTTATTACTCCTAGTTACCGAGTAAACAAATTGTGAAATTACGACCTGTTGTGGAGACATCCAATTTGCGTTACCTCACTGTCATATCATAGACACAGACAACTCATTTTTTCCATATCATTGTTGTGACACGGGCTTGGAGGGGTTAAAGGGGAAGCAGAAACTATAAATATAACGATGATACCGGGTGACAGAACATCGATAAGGTAAACTTGGGAATGCTGTCTCATTCATATTATTTTTTAACTATAAATATACTAAACTGGTGATGAAACATTCTCTATTAAAATTATATTAAAAGATTTCACTAGTTAAGTATTGACAGGTTCGTAACAGTGATTTGTTAATTCATGAACACATTCAAACATGAACCTGCACTAGGAAACACATACGGGACTGTACCTATGAAAATTAGTAACTTATACAGTATGCCTAAAATACATTCATTACACCATAAAGCTGTTTCGTCCTTCTACGACCCATCGGTGATGACGTTTACTTTCGCTCTCTGAACACATGGAATTTGCCTTATTTGATTGGTCTCAGGTAAAAACAAACAAGTGACCAATCGCTTGTATGACTTCTTGTCCTTTGAAGATTACAGAGGAGCGACACCCGACTTCAAAGCCTTGATGGACTTATGAATAGTATGTTAATTTCTGCGAACATCCTATCGAGTTTGTCATGTATACATTTTTATCACATAATGTACTGTGTTATCCAGTGAATATACCCATGTCATATTTCTTTGCGTATTAACACATGTAATATGACCTATCAGCCCTGTGATTGGTTGTAAGTTTTTATTGTTTCAATTGTGACATCACGCCAAGGACAAGGACATGACGTCACAGACTTACGCACTGGGAGTCAAAACGGTGGCTTTTTACATTTCAAGGTTGCATGAAAATTGTCGTTTTACACGAATAAATGCCACAAATCTTGATAATGTGATGAAAAGGATCTTATACTTGATTTCTTTCATATGAAATTTATGAAACTCGTCATAAATTTTCATTTTAGCTTGCCAGAGGCTCGTTAAATTGAAAAATTCTTAGACTTGTTTCATAAATCTCATATGAAATAGAAACACATGCAAGATCCTATATATATTTGTAACTAAATGATTATCATTTCTTCGTCATAAATTTTGATTTCTCGTCTTCCTCTTAAATATTGTACAATCCACATATTTTCCAACGCTTTAATATCCCCGTCTCACTGCAATCTTGTTTTTGGTATTTACCGTAACTTGCCCTTTATTTCCTTTTAATAAGATTTAAGCACAGAATGGTCAGGAAACTTCCGTTGACCAGAAAGCTCAGTAGGTAGGAGCGAAGTCCAAGGTTCGAATCCGGTCTAGTTCAGCTATTTGTTTGCTTTCGTAATACTGTTGTTAATTATATCAATGTACGACAAGGTATGGTTTTCTTTAAGAGATGATTTTTTTCAAAGCTAGAGTCCTGTCAGAAGGAACAGTTTCTAAAGCAGTTTTAGGAGATGGTACAAGGATCCTTAAGTTTGAAATGAACGAAATACAATAAACAAAAACGTTCTGAGTGTAAAAAATGTGCAGTACTAGACCGCGATTCGAGCCCTGGACTTCGGATTGTTAAAAGTTCGGTCTAACCGATCGAGTTACAAATGTTCCTAGTCTACAAAAGCTCCCTGGTCGAACGATACTACAGTTATATTCAAACGGGATTTGAGGGGAGGTAACTATATATAGTAAATGGGACTCTGTTCCGTTTACTTTAAATATGTTTATTAAGCAATGAACACGGTCTGAAAAGACACACAAAGTAGTGGTAAATTGCACAATGATAATTAGCATGAATTACGTATAGAAACTAATCATAACATACAATCCTCTATCTCCCCCAAGTCTTTGGTACACGTAAGTAATAGGGTCACTCGTATTAGTCCTAGGAACAAAGACTGATGTGAAATATGAGAATTATTAAGAAATGTCCGACTAATTGTCCTAAAATAAACAAAATGAAGCACTGAGTCTCCGTGAAAAGTTGCACAACAGATATAACACTTAGGAAATGTTCCAAGTAGAAACAAGTCAATTGTTATTTGGACATTTTATAATCTGAATGCCAAGCTGGTTTCTTTGTGGCACGACCAGAAGTCCGGATCGGTGCAGGGGACGGAACTACTGCTTGTGGCGTATGTGTCGAGATAGGTGGCATCGTTGCCGGGGGTGTGGTGATTTTGCTCACTGGGGTTGCAGGAGAATCAAACGCTAGATGACGTCGACTGAAGATGTCTCGAATACCAAATGGTGGTGAAGGGTGATCAACATCAGATGATGAACGAGGCGAACGTTGTATGGTTCTAGTAGTCAACGGAGTGGATGGTGGAGGACTCGTATCCTTACGGGGAGGGTTGCTCTCTTCACCGACGACGGTGTCTGGGGCGTTAGAAGTAGGAGACGTCGTACGATGGGAGAGTCCAATTTGATTGTCAATTGTGTAGCGCGCTGGTGGTGTAACGACTGGGATATACTTCCTTAGGAATTTCCTGTTGCGTAAGGTAACACGGCCAGATCCGTCAACCCGAACTACATATTGATCAAACTGGCGAACTTCGGTAATGATTCCAGTCTTGTCCCATTTAAGGGGGTGAGGACCAACTTGATTTTGGATGCGTACATGATCTCCAACTGCAAGAGGTGAGAGGCGTTTGGTGTGTTCAGACCAACGTTCACTTTCTCGCATGTGACGATTCCGTAAAGCCTCCTCGCGAGCTGCTAAAGTCTCCAGCCAAGTGTTGTGTGGAATGTACCGACCGGGTGGTATAGGAATAAAGTCTCGTATAGGACGACCGAACACGCACATAGCAGGGGATAGTTTTGTGTCTCTGTCAGGTGTGTTACGATACTGGAGAATAGCGCGTTGGAATGCGCCGGTGATTAAGTCGCCATTGGGACTGGTGTTGCCAGTGATCAGACGCTTCACTGTTTTGACTCCCACTTCAGCACGGCAGTTACTATGGGGAAAAGCTACAGATGACAGTCTATGGTGAACGCCCCAGTTCCTGAGAAAACGACGTGTGAACTCGGGTCCACCATCTGATGCTAGTTCATCAGGGATACCAAAAGTAACAAATGTCCTTCGGAGACAGTAACATCGACATGTATGCTAGCTGAAGGGACTTGAGCTCCGACGGTTGGAAAAGAATCGTGGATAATACCTAATGCAGCGCAGGCTTCAGAACTGAGGAAGAGCTTGTCTGTTGAGCTTGTGACATATGTCATCTGTCATGGCTCCTTGGTGTTTCCTGCCTTGTCTTTACCAATCAAGCGAAGGATGGTCGCACCAAGAATTTTGATACCACCGTATGTAGCCGTGTGCATCTGCATCGTTACAGGTATGATAGGGCAGGCTACAGCTGGCATTGTGGTGATGTGGCAATGATGGGGTTCAGTATTCCGACCGTGTTCATAAATGGGACTCTGTTCCGTTTACTTTAAATATGTTTATTCAGCAATGAACACAGTCTAAAAAGACACACAAAGTAGTGGTAAATTGCACAATGATAATTAGCATGAATTACGTATAGAAACTAAGCATAACATACAATCCTCTATATAGGAAAACACATCAGAGATCGGATCCATCACATTGGATAATTATCGTTTATATGTGTACTTCTCTGGACGATTGTTGCACATTGCACACCTCAAGTCAAAAGGACAGACTATGATGAAATTTTATAGAAATTTGGATTCTGTAGCACTTTATCCTTTTTTTTTAGTAAATAGATTTTTTTTTGAAAATTTATAATCAGGTTTGTGTATTCCTTTCACTAGACACCATTCCTTCGATTTAACTCTACAGTGTCACAAGTTTAATAATGAGACGTAACGATTGGACCAGAGAATATTGCCAAGGACAAGAGACTGTTTCGGTCATACCGTCTAACACTGCTCGTATACACAGCTCTATATCATATACTAATTCAATGCTTCTAATTTCCTTAACACACTTACTGCTATACTTCTCTGTCTGTTGATCAGATTTAAAAATACCCATTTTCTGTATCGTTCTTATTTTCAAAAGTAAAATTAAACGGGAAATTTCTTTAATGGAAATTAGTGCCTTTTATATCAATCTTCGTCAGTTAATCGCTTGCTCTACCTGTTCATAAACAAAACTGTACTTAAAGCATTTTATTTACATCGACAATATAACATAAACACGGATGTGGATTATAGCATAAGTTTGCCTGCTCATCACAATATATCCCAAGCACAAATTACTTCAGTAATTTCCCTGACGACCATAACAAACAGAGATACTTACTGTTTCTTTTGGCATTTAGTACCACTGATAAGTTTGAAATGGACAAAATGACCGTAGGACACTGTGAAAGTGTTTGTTGGCTCTCTGTCCTGACTTAAACTTTTAAATTGCTGTATCTTTGCCTTGCATTTCTTGTGACTATTACACAGCATGACGTTCAACAAAGGGAAACTGTATCAAACTTTGTGATCCTAACAACCTTACGTCTTGTAATCGTTGTTCCATATTCGCCGGAAATCATTTTTATTTATTTTATAATCGATCCAATAGCGCCAGTGTTTCTATGCATTAATAGAGTTAACATACTGAGACACTCTTTGAATTTGTGCTCTTTGGTAGCAGTTTGGAATCCCAGTTGAAATCCTCTATTTACAGTGACAGAGATGTCATACATCGCTACTAAAGTGAATAACATCACCACAAAGGGTTTGCGATGGATAGAAACGCTCAACAGCTTTGTATCAATGCTGACCATTCGAAATTAACTTGACACTATGGTAAGGTTGGTCAAAGAAGATAAGCGAAGGGGAATGTATAAAAGCGATCGTCAGTCCGAGATCATATTTGAGAACATTTCTTGATGGAAATCCCGTGTTTTGATCTTAATCGAATCTAGTTTGGACATTTAGATGAAGTGTTATTAGTAAAAGTTACTTGAAACATGATAGGCCAGTATGGAGAATTAAGATCCGACAAAACAGAAAATGTTTCTTAGAAATAGGCCTTCAACTTATTTCAAAATGGCTAGTGGGTCAGGATAAGCTATTGTATGAAATTTAACAGCTTTTCATTGGTCACTCGTGTTACAATGGAAACTTTTCATTTTCATTTCTAGTATACAACTAGATCATTTGATACAATATATATTTGACTGACTGATATCGTGAGCTTTGAAATGACAAGGTGCAGTTATTTGTCCTCATATATTTGATATATAGAAATCAAATACAGGAGAAAAGTCCAGGGTCTTTTGTTCTCCATACGAAAGGAATATGTTACAAGAATTATTTCCCTTTGATCATCAGTAGGTAGAGATTTATTCCATATAGGGGTTACTTCGCATGCCCATATCATCAGCAAGACTTGAAATGTTGGACACCTAAACAATGAGATGTATTACAATGTATAGCAGTCACTGACTACAAGACAAGGTTACCATTTATTGTTAGGGTTTTTTAATACCTTTGCTTACCATTAATTAACTAATTAATTATTAGCGCACTTATTGCATGGAACTGATAATCCCATCAGAATGTATAAAAGTAATTAATTATGCGTACCAATGCAAGGACGAGCAAAAACTGAAACGTGTCGTTTTGGGGCTATTCTGGGTTATGTTAATTTCTTTGTTGCAACTGTTTGTTATTTTGGGGGGTCATCCAATTACTAGGTCCTATTTCTCCAAACAACTTAATAGAAGGACACTCATTTGAGGTGATTTAGATCCTAGCTAGTACAAAAAAGATAGGTAGATCGGTACATAGGAGGCTAGTTAGATATATGTAGTGTTATATAGCCCCTTGACGCCTTATCTTGGTTTGTTTGAGTTTTACGTCCTATTAACAGCTATGGTCATTAAAGGACGTGCCAGGTTTTGGTGGTGGAGGAAAGCCGGAGTTCCCGGAGAAAAACCGCCGTAGGACCATCCATCGTTGCGAATCAGAATTATTCAATATAGGCCTGTTAATGAGGCATACCTTTAATTGTAATGGTCCCTTAATCTTATGGCAACTTCACCCTGGTTGTTTAATGAACCATACCTATGAATGGTAGGGTAATTAACTCAGTTTGTCTCAGGGTGGTGGAACCGTCGATTATTTGTTGTAAACTTATTCACCTCTGAATTTGTTTTACATGTATGATCTTTTCGACCTTTGAATTGAATTCGACATTCCTACTTAAATCAGTATTTCTTGTTTTTTTTATTTCATTTAACATTTCTCTCCACAAGCACTACTGGACACTGATAGTTCTGAACGATTCTGGCGCGATACATTAGTATGTACAACTACAAAGAATAAAAAGAATTAAAAAAGATAATGCTTGTTTCGTGTGTATTACTTTAAAACACGAACCCTTTGAGGTTTTGGTTAAGGTTGAATAGACATATACATGATAATACAGATGTTCTTTGTGATTGTACTTATGTATGGGTTCTATTGAATTGTAATCCATTTTAATTGTAGGACATACTACTGGGTGTAATGTCGTGTTCTTACTTAACTATTGAACCATTCTCGTCATTCCAGTTCATTCCGGACGACAAAATGGCTAAGCTTTTAGGAATCTGTGTCCTTCTTTCCTTCCTCACAGGTATGTGGTCTTTTTATCATTTATGTCTATTTCATTGAATACATAAGAGCTTTCTTAGATTGAAAATCCTTCAATTAAGACCTTCCATGAAATAACATTACTGAAGATAAAGAAATTTTCTTGAGGATGTTTGTGTACTTCATACCAGAATATTTTTTTTCAGTTTGCTAGTTTTCACCTTTTCTGCATCTGCAAAAAGAACGAATTCGTCATAACAATATTTAAATTGGCGAAAGTTTCCCGGTATACCGTAGTACGTTCTAATGTAATAAACTTAAGGAACGAATCTAAGACCAGTATCAAATTGTAAGTAAGTGTTGACTGTAGACTGTAGACTGTACTATTTTGTGTAAATTGCATATAGTATATCAACTAACATCCAATCATTTAGTGATATGAAATACAAAATTACATACACGTATAAAATACCGGTAAATGTATAAAGATATAGTGATGATTTTACAGTACAATACAATTCAATTTAAGTATATATTTCAGTGTCACCTGTCGTCAATATCAAATTATACAATATTACTTGCATAATGTAAAGGGCCTGTTTCCAGTAATGTTAATTCTCCATAGGAGCCTGCCCCCGTATAATTTCTTATCTAGCTCAACTACTGTTTTTTTCTTTTCCGAAGAATAATTTTACACCTTTCCGACACCCAGATTTCATAATTTCAGTGAAAATGTATTTTTATAAAGTTGTCAATTTCAGCATCAAAGACATAAGTTCGTAAATAAAAGAAGGTTATCTCGAAATTGTAATTCGCAACATAGTATAAATTTCTTTTGATAAATATTTCCAAAACATCGTGTTTATTCATAAAACA